AGGACTGACCGTACAATACGGAGGGGTGGGGAGGACCCGGCGCTGGCGAGGGGATCGGCGGCTTCTTACCGGGAGGTCTCCATGTGTGATCAGAACCAGCTGACTGAGGGATCCGGAGGACGTGAAGATCTGGGTGCGGCTTCGTAACCACATGTCACAGAGGTGCAGGGACACAGTGCAGCGGCTCAGGAGCCCCTCCTGGCAGGTGACCGCACGCAGCTCAGAGGACGGGCGGTCACCGAGGTTCCGGGGTCCCTGGGAAGATGGTTGGTGGCCGGTGCTCGGTGCGTACTGGAAGCCGGAGAGGTGTTGGCACAGAGTCACCAGAATCCCAGAGGTCCTGCTGTGATTCCCGGGGACCGGATCTCCTCTACCCAACGAGGAGGCTGCGCACTTATCCGTCAGGGCGGAGCTTAGCGCCTGGCACAACGCTGTATGGAGGAAGAAGAGGAGATGTGTCACTGTGGGGTGTCTAATGAGCTACACCCCTCCCCCTACAATGTCAGTACCAGTATATCACCAAGGAAAGGGCAGACACCCCATCATGGGCCCTACAGGGGGAGCTTTCTCAACGAGATAGGGAGGGATCATGTGACAATGACACTCTCACCCGGCACAGTGATCTCCATACAATGAGAAGGAGCCCTTTGTCACTGTGGGGTGTCTAATGAGCTACACCCCTCCCCCTACAATGTCAGTACCAGTATATCACCAAGGAAAGGGCAGACACCCCATCATGGGCCCTACAGGGGGAGCTTTCTCAACGAGATAGGGAGGGATCATGTGACAATGACACTCTCACCCGGCACAGTGATCTCCATACAATGAGAAGGAGCCCTCACACGGCACAGTGATCTCCATACCATGAGAAGGAGCCCTCACACGGCACAGTGATCTCCATACCATGAGAAGGAGCCCTCACCCGGCACAGTGATCTCCATACAATGAGAAGGACCCCTCACCCGGCACAGTGATCTCCATACCATGAGAAGGAACCCTCACCCGGCACAGTGATCTCCATACCATGAGAAGGACCCCTCACACGGCACAGTGATCTCCATACCATGAGAAGGAGCCCTCACACGGCACAGTGATCTCCATACCATGAGAAGGACCCCTCACCCGGCACAGTGATCTCCATACCATGAGAATGAGTCCTCACCCGGCACAGTGATCTCCATACAATGAGAAGGAGCCCTCACCCGGCACAGTGATCTCCATACAATGAGAAGGAGCCCTCACACGGCACAGTAATCTCCATACCATGAGAAGGAGCCCTCACCCGGCACAGTGATCTCCATACCATGAGAAGGACCCCTCACCCGGCACAGTGATCTCCATACCATGAGAAGGAGCCCTCACCCGGCACAGTGATCTCCATTCCATGAGAAGGAACCCTCACC